GGCGGCGAGCGGGACGTGTGTGTGTTTTGTTCCCAGGCGGCATTTCCCGGATCAAAACCGGACTTTTTTTCCACCCTGGAAGTTTTGGGGAAGCGGAAAGTGCGATCCGGCCCGGCCGCGCCGGGACCTGCTCCGTGTCTTGCTCGCTGGGGCTGCGTGCGCCCTCGGAGAGCGGATTTTGCTGTTTTCTCGGCACTTACGGCTCTCCGTTTTTAAAATGGAAGCGGGTATTTTGTCCGGCTGTGCCATGCGGGAACCTGGAGCTGCTCCCCGCGCGCTGGCGTCTCTGCGCTCCCACTTTCGTTTTGGAGGTGGGAAAACCGAGCGCTTTTATTTAGCATCATTTTAGCTCCATTGTTTTCGTGAGCTTCCGGCCAGAATCATTCCTGCCGCGGCCGCAGAGGCATCGCTCGGATCATGAGACCGTTGACGTTGCGGGTTTGTTTGGGTCAAGTGAAAGCTCGGCCGGGCCGTGCAGGGATGCACGCGGCGCCCGGTGTTTTTGCCTGACTCGTGATGTTTTTTAATGCCAACGCGTGGTTTATTTAGGAGTTGGGATAAAACAAGTGCTGAGGCGCTGTCACCGCGGAGCAGCTCGCTTGAGGGACTTGCTTCCCAGCGGTGCCATTGAGCTTGGTGGTGGATGTGAGGCGGGCCGTGCTGCAGGAATTGGAAGAAGAGACCCCCCACACGTCGTCTGTGGGAAGTTTGGGCTTCCCTCTGGAGGGAAATCCCAAAGGAGCGGGCAGATCCTGTGCCCAAGGAGCCGACGGGGACGCGGTGGGACACAGGTTTTTATTTATAGCAGCGCGTGTTTTGGAAACGCCGCCTTTGCCCCGTGCAAACTCCTTAGCTTTTAAAGCAACGCGCCGGCCTCGTCCCCCACACAAACACTGCGTCCCGGGTGACTCCGCTCAGGTGTCCGGCTGTTTTTCTCTTCCACGTGTTTCCGGAGAGTGACCCAAGGCTGTTACCTTGCAAAAGCTGCGCTTGGGGAGCATAGTTCATCGGTGCCTTGCTGAAGTGCACCAGGGTCATCTGAGTTCAGCTGTATTTTTAGTCCTGTTTGTTTTTTCTTTCCTTTATCTTTTTTTTTCTTTTTTCTTTCTTTTTTCTTTTTTTTTTCCGAAATGACTATTGAGACAGCATTACCTCTCAACGGATGGGTTGCAATTTCCAGCTTTGCATTTCCCTTGGAAAGCAGCACGAGGATTTATTTATTTGTTGGTGCGAGTGCTCGGGACCTTCGTTATACGGCAAGAGGTGGGAGCTCCGAGCCGGGCATTTTAAACGGGAGCTGTTTTCACGTGGAGAGCGCGGTGCCACTGGAAACGCACGGGATTTTAGTCTTCAGGGCCTGGGGAAATTGTCTGGTTGTCTGCGGGGTGTGAGGAATTGGGGTGAAGGGGACTGTGCAGGAGGAGCACTGAACACCGCTGAACCCCACCTGCAGAATGGGGTTAGGGAGAGAAAAGATCAAAATGCAGGGAGAAGAGAGAGTTGTTGAAGTGATTTCTGGAAGGAAAGTGCAAATCGGAGAGAATCTGTGTGGACAGACGCAAAACCAGGAATGTTTTGGTGCGAGTTCGTTCTCTTCTGCGCTACCTGGGAAGCTCTTGTAGGTGCCGTGGGTTAAGCAAGAGCTTTGAAAGTTTTCTCTAACATAAAATGGCTTTGGGAATCTTAATTTTCTGTCCAAAAATAACCTGAAATAATTCTGCATTCTTAATGGCAAGGATTAAATCAAACCTGGTTCGAGGCACAAATGGCGCTCAAAGTCGTTGGTCCGAAGGAAACCTCCAGTTTAACTGTACATCAGGAAGGGGCTCTAGGTGTGTGTCCCTGTGAAATCATCCTCAGAGGTGTGTTTTCATGGAAAACAAATGCAGCTTTCCCTCCCTTTGCTTGAGCTAGCTCTGAGGAACGAGCTCCCGGTGAACGCGGTCGCTCCGCGGCAAGACTTATTTTAGGAAAATGCGAAATCCCGAAGGTCCCTTCCAGCGTGCGAG